TTTTTCTAAACATTCCTGGAATTAAATACTTTAAGTTTTTAATACCAATATCTATATATCTTTATACAAATTTCATGTTTAACCACAAATAAAAATTCTCCTACTTATAAGAGCCTCCTAGCAGCTGGCTTAGCATTTCACTTACTTGGGGTTTAATTTTACTAAACAGCTTTCTTTTAAATTCCGAACAAAATCGTTGTAATCTATGTTAGATGCTCATTTAGCAGTATTATTGAGAGGTGGGATTTCCAACAGTGGCATCAAGAGAACAATACATTAAATCAGGTTCTCTCTCTTTCTGAAGATAGCAGCGCGAGCTCAGCTGGGCCCTCGGTCCTCAGCCCAGCCCTCGGCGGCGGCAGTGAATTCAGCCATAACTATAGCCGAGTCTGATCATTCTCCTGATGAAATTACACTGATCTAATTTGCACGCTGTGAAGACATTTGGCACTGGCTGGATCTGAGCCTTGACATCTTCATTGGAACTAAAAGTACACTAAGAACTGACATTACATTTCACATTCTCTTCTGCCAGGCTGTGGCATTTCGTCCTCTTTAAAGGCATTATTTCAAGAACATTTAATTTGGCTTTGATGTGCCTGCCATTTTGCTGGGTGGAACATACTGTGCCAGAAAAGCTCAGCTGTAATAAAGTTTGGCACCAACAGCCCACCATATACCTGCACCATCCTGTGCGATTTAATTGGCATTCAGCGGGTTGATAAATGGATTGGCTTAATGAGACAATATCCTTGACATATGCAGGGCTCTCCTGAGGAATAGGATTCATTTTTCCACTTCACACATCAACATGTTACAGATACCAACACAGTCATCTCCAGCAGTTGTGCGGTAGCCAGTGAATGCCATCCACTGGGCTGACCAGCGACACGGTTACCTTCCAAACATCTCCCTCCTTCCTCCTCCAGCACAAAGCAAAGCATGGATTTTAAATTTCATTGTCTTTTGTATTTTCCCAGACACAAGGAACAAGATGAACCCCATGATTTATTTACAGAAATCTGTATTTCCCTAGGAGATCAAACAGCCTTGTGGTCTAACCAAATTGGTTTTACCTGCTATAAAATCATGACTGTAAAATGAAAGTAATAATGAATGCTAGGTATAACTACTGACACATGCAATCATGTACAGGAGCAAATAGGTGGGTGCCATTCTATCTTCAGAAATGCTGGTTGCAAAAATGAATTAATTAAGACAACAAAGAGACACCATTTTTCACTCCTCTGATTATCAAAGATTAAAAAGAACCATAATGCTGAGTGTTGGCACGGGAGCAAGGACATAAGTGCCTCATGCGCTGCCGGTGGGATCCTAAATTAATACAACTTTTCTGGAAGGCAATTTTCAGTATGTATCAAAAGCCTTAAAAATGGACATAGACTTTCACTAAAGCACTTCCACTTCTGAAAATATGTCCCAAGGGATTGGAGACATGCCAAAGATGGATATTCAATGATCAACACATTGATTATAATAGAGAAAAAATGTAAAACAACGCAGATGCCTAAAAAAATAGATTTCCTAAAGAGAATATAGAACAATCATATGCTAGAACACTAAGCAGTCGTTAAAATGCTGTTGTAGCCAGGCTGGTGCGGCTCAGTGATTGAGCATTGACCATGAACCAGGAGGTCACAGCTCAAATCTCCATCAGGTTGTGGCTCGATCCCCAGTAGGGGGAGTGCAGGAGGCAGCCAATCAATAATTCTCTCTCATCATTAATGTATGATTCTCTCTCATCATTGATATTTCTCTCTCTCTCTCTCAATCCCTTCCTCTCTGAAAGAAATAAAAATGATTAAAAAAATAAAATAATGAAATGCTGTAGTAGAAATATGTCATGAAAAATGGTTCTAAGTATTACAAAATACTACTTCATTGTTAGCCATTTTTTGTGAAAAATTTATATATCTATACATCTATACTCATACTAAAAAAATCAAAAAAACAAATATCAAAATAATAATGCTTGCCTTTGGAAGTGGGATTAATTAGACTTTCTTTTTTCTTTATGTTTATCTTATGTTTAAACAAAATTTATTTAAAGGATTTAATTAAGATGGCATTTTAAATTTCTCAAGTAATTTCTAGCTGACAACAATGTGATTTTTGGAAAGTCTTTTACTGTGTGCTAAGTCAAATCATGCCCATGTAATTCAATTCTTATGGTTCCAGGTTACTTAAGTATTCAATTGAATAGCTGTCCAGATAGATAACCCATCTTAGACAAATGACCTTTCTTTCTACTTCCAGCTTCCTGGGATTCTCACGTCACTAGTAACAGCTGAGTAGTAGAAAGCAGCAGATTTTTAGAACACAGTTGACATTCAAAAGACTTCTGGAGTATATGTCTTCTAGCCATGGTCCTTATTAAATAAAAACTACTTGGTCTACTCTGTTTTGTTTGTTTGTTTACAATGCCAAAGATGCCTAAAAAAAGATAGAAAATATGAAGATCCAGATATGAAAAGGTTATTTATTTAGATTTGCTAAGGCCCCCTGGGAACCACATTGAGCCTGGCAATAGGAAAATTAGGGTCCCTGCCTTCAAGTCTGCCCAGGCAAATAGAAAAGGAAAGATAAAGGGGATGGAATGAAAGTGCTTTAAAAGGGAGATCAGCTTAGGGAAGCCGAAGTGCTCCATAATGACCACTGCAGGGCTTGGTCAGCTTTTCAGCCCGGGCGGGAGGAAGGGCCCTGTGAAGAGCATCCAGGGCAGCTGCATCGCTCGCAGCTCAGCGGTCCTCCCTGGTCCTCCCGGCGTGGCGCCACGCTGCCCGCCCCTGGCTTCCTTCCTGCCTCTGAGGTGGGAGGGCACCCAAAGCCACTGCCCCTCATTCCAACTGGGGTCCAGTTTGATGCTCTCCATTCTGGTCCACAGGAAGTTCCAACATGCAAATAAGCCCGAGGAAATGGAAAAAGGAAACGGTGTGTGACAGTTTCTAATTACTGCATAAAAACAACATATGGAAACTTCATTGTCCATTTCATCTCTCAACATGTACCATCAAGTCAGACTTCTTTTACTCAAATCCCTCTCTAGAGAGCATTTGGATCTGATTTACTTCAAAAAGAAGTTGTGTGTTGTTGTTTTTTTAAAATTTCTGATGGAATAATAGTATTTTTTTATTTTAAACATCTTGCTCATTGGGAGGTTTTCATAACCTTGTTCTATTTTCCATATGAGTTTTCTCATTGTGCGTTCGTTAATTCTATTCCCTCGGGTTGTTCACAACCTGGACCGAAGTTGTTCATTCTTCAAAAGTTTAAATTAACTGTCCCTAAGTACCTGTTATAAATGCTTGAATGAGTCCCTAATCACTGATTAGAGGCAGCAGGGGGATTGATTCGGCTCTTGTGTCTGCTTCAATGTTCTAAAGGCTATGAACAGGAGGTCAAGAGAGGAAAACAAAGCAGGCAACGTTTGGTGAACTAAAAAAAAAATAACAGTGCGGCACAGAAAAAAACAAAAGTTAGTGAAACCAATGTGTTGAGGTAGAAAGTCTGGATTGAGGCTCAAAGACCTGGAGACTGGCCCCAGCTTAGGCACACGAGTGTGATCCTAGGCAGGGTCACTTCCCTCATCTGCTTTCAGATAGGGTTCAGGCTACAAGATTTCCAAGATTTCTTTCCTGTTTCCTGAATTCTCAGACTGTACCGCATGATTTCAGTACTACTTGCTGTCTATATGGGACCAGACGTACCAAAGGTGGCTTGCATTTAAATGCTAACCTTGGAGGAATGTTTAAAAGTTGAGGCAAAACCAGAGAAGCAAAGCATATATCAAGTTCCCATTTGCTTAAGGCAAAGCCTTCCAGATTCTCCTCTCATCCCCCACTGGCCACAGAAGCAGAGTCAGTTAATGAATCAGAAAAAAGCTGGTTACCAGATGTCCTGGCTTATTAACACGCACATCGCATTCTGTAACGGCATTCACAGAGCAAGCTGTGTGGAACCGAGGGATGGCAAAGGGAAACTTCTCCTCTCACATAAGCTTCAAAATGTGGTGTGCTTTGCTAAATTTCAGGAATGGTTGCTGCCTAAGTTAGTGCAAGCCGTTGGCAGGCATGCTCTCTGGCAGGAGCTTGCCTGGGTTACAAAGAACCCCTTCTCCAAGGTCATAGGATATCTCGCCTCTCTCAGCCCTGCCTCCTTCCTCTAATCTGTGCAGACTTGCTGACGTGATTTCTTACACGTGGAAAGAAAGACAACGGTAATAAAGTTAGGAGTGATGCAAGGGAAAAGCCAACGCTGTGTGATTGGTTTTCACCACAGCTAATTTTAAAGCCACCCATTGTTCAGCTCTGCGGTGTAATTTTATGTTAATATCCTGAAAGTTGTCAAATCTTGGCAAAACCTATGCATAAATTACACAGAAAGTAGCTCGCAGGAGGGGGAAAAGTAATGACTGTCATGGATAGCCAAACCCATTAATAGCCTGACAAGCAATAACCCAGGAGCTCTGGTCAACTGCTGCAGACATCTGTGAAACTTTTGCAATTAGTACCATTTTCCCCCCTTTTTTTGTTTTGCTGTTGGAAGAGGTATCAGCTGTGAAATAGCATGTAACGGACTGATCATTATCAGCTCTGTGAGCAAGGGTTGGGCTTTATCATCTCTCTTGGTTGACCATGCCCTACTTTTCACAAAAAACAACTTAAAAAATTTTTTTTAAAATAATGCCATAATTATATAGTCTCTAGGAAACAGGTGCCAATGGTGTGGCTACTCAAATAATAAAAAATAAGATGCTTCAACCTCTTACTCATCACTGATTTTCCTCCCTGTGAGGTTGAGAAGAAATAAAGATGGAGAGACACAATCTCTCTTAAAAGCTGCACCCTAGGTTCTAGGCTTGCAGGTAGATCATCTTATTGTGCCTTCTCCTACCACTTTCCACATCACTTTTCTGTGGGTAAGGGTTTCAGGGCAAAATAAATGGTCACTGTTTGTGCCATGCTGGTGGTTAAAACATTTTGAATATCACTCTGTATACATGTGTGTGTATATCTGTCTATTTATTTATTTATCTATCTATCTATCTATCTAGTACACACACACACACATAATCTATTGTTCATTTTCCCTAAGAATATTGCAGGTAAATTAGCTGAGTTTCCTACAGTGAATAGCTCTAAAGCAAGCATGTCAAACTCATGGCCAGCGAGCCACATGCCTTGTTTATTTGGCCTGTGTTAGCCTTTGAGTTTGACATGCTTGCTCTAAAGCAGTTGTTCTCAACCTGTGGGTTGCCTAAGACCATCGGAAAACACATATATAATTACATATTGTTTTTGTGATTAATCACTATGCTTTAATTATGTTCAATTTGTAACAATGAAAATACATCCTGCATATCAGATATTTACATTATGATTCATAACAGTAGCAAAATTATAGTTATGAAGTAGCAACGAAAATAATTTTATGGTTGGGGGTCACCACAACATGAGGAACTGTATTAAAGGGTCGTGGCATTAGGAAGGTTGAGAACCACTGGTCTAAAGGCTTTTCAATATTTCCCCAGAGCTGTTACAGCTGCTGCATCTTACATAGTGCCTGGCACTGAGTAGATACTCAAAAATCTCTGTTGAATGTATGTATATATGTTAGCAGGGAATATTTCCCATTGATGATCTTGCTATTGTAGCTCCATTTGTTGATTTTATGCAGAACTTCCTTGCTGCTTAAAAAAAAATCATTGCCTGTGTGTAGGGTTTCCTCGGGGAATGCTAACAAAAGACTTGCTTTTCTCAAAACTTATAGCCTGAAATGCCTGCATTACAGAATCATTTGGTTAACAAACTCTTTCCTAGCTCCGGCTTTATTCCAGGGCCTATGCTTAGAGATGGAGATAAGAAGATGAATAAAACACAGTTTTTGCTATCACAGAGCTCACAGAATGTTAAGAACAGCCACGTGGAAAGGTGATTCCCAAAATACATGCACATGTTATAAGACTACAGGTTTCAACTGCCTTTAAGGACCAGCACACTTTAGCTGGCATTGCAGGGAAAGGTGTCATAGTAAAAATGCATGTGGGATGGGTTTTGTAAAACATGGCCTGGCAGAAAGAGCAAGGAAAGGCTTTCAAGGCTCAAGGTCTGCATGTGTAGAGTTACAGTGTAATAAAAGGACATAGAATTTTAGGAAAGAGTGAGATAGCTAGTGGCTAGAAGCAGAGGGTGTGGGAGAATGTGGCAGGAGTTGAGGCTGGAAAGGTGAACCGAGGTAGGATAAGAAGTGGCCTTGCTGCCATACTAGTGCCTGCAGGCAGTTAGGGATGAATGCAAGCCTTTAGGCACAGAAACAGGTATTGCCTATGATGACCAGTAATATGGGGGGGGGGGCAGAGGGGGACGGGGGCTGCCAAGAGGGGAGGGGGGAGGGAGGGCAGAATCAGGATTGGAAAGCCAGTGAGAAAGTTATTTTAAAAGCAGTGTAGATAGACCACGAGTAAAGAGAAGAAGCAATGGATTTTGAAGATATCTCTATAGCAGAACTGTCAAGATTGGATGATTGATTGCATGTGGGGGGTAAAAGAAATGTGATAGAGGATGACTCCTAGCTTCGTGTAAATGGCCAGGCCTTTCATTAAGACAGGGCCACGCAAAAAACAGCTGGCTGGCGTCAGTGTAGGAGTGAGGGAACTGCAAGGGCAACATATAAATTTCCCAGAAATCGGTTTTTAAAAAATAATACTATTTCCAACTATCACTGTGAAGCCAACAAATCTAAAAAAGAACAAGACAAAATCTAACTGATGCTTATCAAAGGCAAATGCAATTGGAAAGACTTCCTTTTAATAAAAGTATCAGGGGGAACAATAATAAAATATTAAGTTCTCTGAACTTAAATAAAAAGAGTTTATTCACAGACAGCTATTTATAGTTTCTGAGTTCGGAGGTTGCTGACCTGGCTACTGAACGAAATGCTCAACCTGACCTATTTCTTCTTCCTTCCCTAAATATCATAGTCACATTTACCCAATGAAAATGGTATTTATAAAACACAAAACACCCCAAACCGTCATAGTCTTCAAGTTGGTAAGACACGTAGATTCCTCTCCAGCCTTGTCTGGACAAATCAAGAAAGAAGGAAGTAGCAGAGGAATCACATAAACCAACGCCAGTTGTCTGAAAAACAAGTTTGCTGTCATCTTGGGACACATCATTTTTAGAAACAATGACCCATTTGGCAGCCTCACACATGTTCCCATCTCTGAAAGCTTTCTAACATTCCAGGCCTTGCTTTATTTAGGTTTGGGATTTTCTTCAGTGAAGCTAGTGCAGAATCTTAATTCCATTCAGTATTACTCATTCCATTCACACAATTTTTCCCCCCTCATTGTGTTAGCAACCCTGCTTCACTGTCTCAGCTACCATGTCTGGGCACCTCATATCAAATGGCGGTAGTGTGGAATGTCTAGTTATTTCACTGTTGAACTTGTACAGCTGTCCTAGATGGTCTGTTTAATAACGTGAGTCCTCTGGCTTTTGAAAACAGCCTTTGTTACATGAAGAATGTGGCTTTCTTCATCAGAAACAAGTTTCTTTTGGGCTCAGTCAATTTCTAACCTGAATTAGTTTATCCAAAATATCACACTCTATTTTTTTTTCAGTTTTCAATGAATTTTTATTGATTACCTGGAGTTTATAAAGGATATATTCCACCTGTCTCCAATATCTGACAACATCACTCTTCACTGAATTTTTAGACTTTAAAATTTCTGTTGACATTACTGTGCAATTCGCCAGCATATGTGAACTCGAAGTCAAAAGACATTTCCTGGAGAAATTCTAGCCAATTGACCTAAGTTGGGAGAGATTCTGGGGAGCTACATGTTTTCCCTGTCGAAAGGGAGGTCAGACTAAGTAAGTTTCAGGGGAAGAAAATGGGGTCATGGAGGTAAGAGTGGGGATCCAATCAAACAACAGCCTTTTGTTGGGGAAGTGCAGGGTGGTGGGGTCTCAGAAAGCAAAGAGACCCGGTTCAGTGGAGGCCTTTGACTTCTGAACCCATAATCACTTCATCCCTTTTGGGATTTTTTTCCCGTGTTTTCCATGTTATCGCTCTTTTGTTCATTTTTGTCACTTAACTTGATTTCCATTGTAGGGTGATGATTTTTCTCCTCCCTATCTCTTGGATCTTCAGATACAAATAGTCAACATGACTCCAAGTTCTTTGTAGAAATAGCCAATAGGCTGTTTTATTTTTTTCATTTCACTCAGATGCATAGTTTCAGTTTTAATTGTGTTGCTATGAAATGAACATAATGTTTTCCAACATTATTATAACCAGAAGTAGCTAAAAATATGTATATTGTTCTTCATCTTATAAAAACACTTTTATAATATATCCCATGTATTAACTCACAGTCCCTGAA